ATAAAAAGATTCAATATGAAGCCCTTCAAGATCAATATGATGATTTGAAAAAAGAATTAAATGAAGAAAAAGAAAAAATACAAGAACTACAAGAAAAATTAAATATTAAAGAATCTTGTATTAATGAATTAGCAAAACGTATTATATACTATTAAAAAAAATTTAAAAGAACAAGAAGAGAATGAGAAAGAAAAAAAAATTAATGTTTATTTGGTAAACAAAGAAGAAAAGAATGAATTTATTGTTGATGACAATGAATATGATTGTTTAACAAATTGGAAAATTGATGAAAAAAAAGAAATTAATGATTCAACTAAAAATTTTAATAGTTATAGTTATTTAATAGACAATAAAAAATTTGATGAAATTGGTTATTTTGATTTTGATTAGTTATATATTTTGTATTTATATATTTTTTATTTAATAAAATTTTATATATTTATTTATATTAAAACAAAATAAAAAACTGACTAATTTTAATTTATTTTTCTTCGTCTATTTGATTCTGCTACTGAATTTGATCTTTTATAATCTGAAAGCTCATCAGATTTATTTTCTTCATTAATTAAATTATTATTAATTAATTGTAATTCTTGCTCAATTTCTTGTCTATATTCAAAAAGCTTTTTGCATTTCAGATAATCTCAAAGATATCGTTTTTTAAATTCGAGAAAATTCTACAAACAAAATATATTATTATTATATATATAATTTACTATAAAAATTCTATAAAAAACTTACTTGATGCCAATAAACTTTATTATCATCAATTCTATGTTCACCTTGATTATTATTTAATTTTTTACTTTTTTCAATTATTTCTTCAGACGAATTTTCACCATTTCGATATTTAATTTCCCAAATTATATTTCAAAATTTTTCTTCGTCGCCTTTATGAAAAATAATTTGCGTTGTTCTTTTTTCTATATTCTTATCCCAACTATTAGTAAACTCAATAATATAATCTAAACATCTTTCAAACTGTGGCCAATCATGTTGATTAAGCTCTTCTTCATATTAACCAAAATTATACACATCTTGAGGTAGTTTTTTAGCTATTAAAAAAATATATTTTGATAAAAAAGGTTCAAAACCTTTGTGTTTTATTTCCACATCATATGGTGTATCATTCAACATATTTATCATATCATTCCAATTAATCTTTGTATAAAACTCATCAAGAAGAACCGCTTGTTGACCTTCATATCTATTCTACCAATTATTTTGTTGTTTTGTTGGTTTATTAGCATATAATTCTCTTTTATCTCTAGAAAATAGTTTAGTAACTAAACCAGATTTTCCTGAACCTGTAGGTCCATAAAAATAAAAAGTCAAAGGATGATAAAATCTATTTCCTTTTTCTTTCTTTTTTTCTTTTTGTAAATTTTGATAAATTCTTGTCATTGTTTCATAATTCTTACAATATGGTATTTATCTTTATTTTTTTAAAAATTTCAAGAGGAGTTTTATTATCTAACAACATTTTATTACTATTTATTCTGCCAGAATGTTCATTAGCTTTCAATTCGTTTATATCTAGTTTTCTCTTTTTAGTATATTTCTTTTCAATTTCTCTAAATTCACCAAACTCAAATAGACCAGTAATTTCTTTTGATAAAGTACCTCTTCCCCAAAATGCACTTTTTCGTTCACATATTGAATCACATTTATCATATCTGTGATTAATGTCATAATAATCACAATAACAATCTGAATGCTTCTTACAATGATCATAAGGCTTTAACATATATGCTCTATTTTGAATTGAAGTGCTATTTAATTTTTGTTAAAATATTAAAGAATTATCTTCTTTAAATATTTTTTTAGCACCTAATAAAGTTTTTCTTTTATCAGGATAAAATTGCATATATATCTGTACATGTAATTGTTCTGAATCAGTTGGTTCATATTTCCAACCAATATAAGATTCATCATTTTTAATTTTATTATAAGCTTCTTGAGTTGTTGGTACAACTTGCTTACATTCAATATTATTTACTTTACAATAATCACATATAATATCATTATATTTATTTAATAAACAACAATTTGTGCAAGTATCAATTGAACAACACCAATGTTGAACTTGACATAATTTACAAATTGGTTTACCAGTTTCTTTAAACTCGTCTTCATGATTTATTTTATTTTTTTTATTTTTAGTTTTATTACATTTAAATTTTTCTTTACAAGATAAACAATAATAAGTTACAGTAGATGTGTGATAAAATTAATAATCACTCATTTTTATTTTTCTACCGGTTAAAGAAAATCAAACTCTTTATATATATTTTTATTATATATTTAACCTAATTTAGTATTTACTTTTATAGTAATTCCTAATTCGTTTAAATTACATAATTTTAAGAAATTATAAATATTTTTAAAAATTTATTCAAATTTTAATTTATATTATAAAAAAAATTTTTTAAATATTGTTTTAAATAATATGTTATTAGCCTTACAAAAAAATATAAGTTATCAAATCTTGCCACTTGGCGGCTATATATCAACTAGACAAAATTTCAAAATTTACAAATTTTTCTTGTCAATAATTCATAATATTTATTTTTAAATCTTGTAAATATTTTTTTATTAGAAATGATTAAATTTTTTACTGAATTTTTACGACTTT